AAAATGAACTCGAAACGAAGGGTTTAATCATAAGCATTTATGTTTGATTTGAAAACTGCCAAGAAGTGTCGAGATAGTACTGTACAATAAAATGAATTGGAAAATACGCGTTTTTACATCAATTGATTATTCCAAATTTGGTGTCAGGTGAAAATATTAATTAAAACTATGAACCACTGTTCTTGATTCGAGATGAAAGCATCAGTACTTCCATTGAGAAAAATTTTACGAAACAATTTTTAGAAATAATCTCCTAGTTCATCAATTATATTTTGTATTTGATCAAACTTCAAAGCGAGCCTCTTGAAGAATTGCGATATTGGTGGAATATAAGCTCATCAAAATTTTATTGAGAGTATATTCTAAAAAGAATACATTTTGAGACACGGAAGTAAAATGAATTCGAAACGACGGGTTTACACCGTAATCATAAATCCAGAGTTCCTGTCTGATGAAAAATTTAATGAAGTATCGGCAGGTTTCTTCGATAAAATTTGTAAACGCTGATCATATTCATCATTGAGGAAGTGGTACAGTACAAAACATTATATAAACGATCTCCCAGTTCATCAATCGAATTATGCTTTCGGTGAAACTTCGAATTCAGACTGATGGAATCGCACCTTGAACATACCTCTCAGCGCGTTTACGGAACATACTTCCAGAACCTTTTTTTTTTGGTTCGGAAAAAGAAAATGGGTACTCGAAATGATGGATGGATACGATCGATCATTCGTTTCCCGCATCCAAGCAGGTTTAGAAAAGCCAAAAAAAAAATTCAGTGATCACTTTTACTTGTAAAGAAACCGTTATTCTTGCTCAGGTTGCCGCGTTTTGGTCGACCTTGGAGGCGTTGACTGATCAGTTTCCAGCTGTGTTGCTTTCGGGCACATTTTTTTCTATTTCTCGTTTGACTCCGTTTCGAATCGAATGAAAACTATGGGTAAAACGGGAAAGCTGTTCTGTCATGGTATTTTTACTGATGGCCGGATATGTGAAGAATGCGGGTGTTTGGTTTCTGTGGCCGAAAGCCACAGAAACCTGGAGAGTTTGATGGAATAAATGTGGTGGGTAATAATAGGTGCGTGGTTTGGTGGAACGTTTGAAGCTCTATCAACGAAAAGAATGCGTTTAGAGGAAATTATGATGAAAAATACAGCATTTATAGCCCAGTAAGATTTATACAGTAATTTTTTTAAACCAGAAAATTTTTTAAATTTTGTGTTCTCGTTTATGATTGTCTGGAAAACGGGGGTAGGAAATATATTTTCTGTTGAAACCCACTTTTTCTGCTCTTCGTCATTCTGATAAGTAAGTCGTCGGAAATGAAATAAAAAGTTGAAAACATAACTTTCAAGAGAAAAAATTCGCATGGCAAGCAGTTAATGCGAATGTTTTCAAGGCGCGCGAGTCTAGGACACACCTTACGCAAATGTCTGTAACTCAAATTTTTAAGAAAGCACGTGCCAGCGTTTTCTCTGGTGTTATTCAGTTTTTGACGTGAAGTTGAGTTTCACCAAACCAATAAAAAATAGAACAGTGCATTTTTGAAATTCCTTGTACGATAAATTAATCTTTTTCCTCATCTCGTTAATCAAAGAAAGAAGGACTAAAGTCTAAATGCCGATGAAAATAAATTTTCTCTTTTCAATTTCTCTTTTTTCCGACGGAAGTCGATGGCGGATGAATCCGAAATGGGTTGTAGTGTACATATTACTAGTCCCTCTGAAATTTCACCATAGAGTTTCCACGATTTGGTCAAACTGTGTAACTTGAACCAGCACTGTGCAAAATATGGTCCAGTATAGTATTGCATTTCAAGAGACGGAAGTTCGTCTAGTCGTTGGTCCACTCCAGTCGGCTCAGCAATAAACCGCGTCTGGTTGTTGTCCCTGCGGATCGGGTTTCGGGGTTCAAGTTGTTCCTCACAGTCCTTCCCTTTCCTGGGGATACGTATTTCTTGGGGTGTTTGCGAAACATGGAAGAAAACAGTAGAAGGGGTCGGGTTTAAGCTGTGACGCATGGGATGGATGAAAGCTGATCTGGCGGATGTCTGGCGTCGAAGCAAGCTGGTTGCAAACATTCTGTCCTTCCTTCCCTTTTTTTTTTCTTGTAGAAAACGAATTCGAAATTTTTATTTTGAAGGGAAAACCTCCAGGATTGAGTCACCCGAACTGAAAAAAAAAGCAAGGGTAGAAATTTCGGAAAATTGAATTTCCACGCGGTTTTGAAATTACTTTCTGTCAAAGAACAGTCGTTTATTTTTTTGTGTGCGAGAAATGGAAAAAGATTCTCTGATGCGTCAATTTTTTTTATCCTATATTCCTCGCGTTTCGCATCTTCTAAATTTATTGTTAAGAGACTTTTGAATTCCGTTTCTTAAGAAATTTTTACTTTAAATCAGGTTTGAGCTGGCTTTTTTTTTTCTTCCTCTAAACACCTGCTGGTGCTGTGTTGCAAGACTTCGTGTTCGTTCCCCGCTCATCCGTGTATGGGAATAGAAGCTTTGGGGGAAGGAAGACGTGAGAGAAATGTCTTTTCGGGTTGGGTTACTCTTATGCGCATTTTTGGCCTTCCTCTTCACTGCGGGGCAAATCAACTTCTCGCGGCTTCTTGTTCCTATTTATCTTCCAGTTGAATGCCGCTGTAACGATACCCGAGTAACCGCCTCCAGGAAGAGTCAAGTGGAACGAAAATTCTACCGAGTGGGACATTCTTCCACGATATTGACATTTTGAAAGAAGAAATTATTTCTGTCCGCACGGTCGTATTTTACAGCCAAAAATCTCGTTTAAAGACGCACTGAAGCTTAGAAAACCCCATGATAAATATTAAAATTCGTTGTAATGAGTGTCGAATATCATCGTGGCAACGCTGAAGCTCCTTAAAATTAATTAATTCAAAAACAAAAATAAATTAACTCATTATGAGGATATTTCACTGTAAATTTAGCAGAAAAATTATCAGCGTTATAGCGAATCGGGTTTTGTGAGCACAGAAAAGGATGACTGATTTCTCTATTGGATTATTTTAGAGCATTCTTCAAAAATGAATGAGTGAGAGTTCAATCGAGGGGAATTTGACCCTTGACAGCCAAATCAAAGAAAAAGCCGACTATTCAAAACTTACTCGTAATTTCTTGTCTGTAAATGCTGCATATTCTCGGATTATATCGTATTAAGCTTATTTTTTTCGGCGACAATCCGTTGCTAGATGTCTTTCTACAGCAGCACACAATTGATCAGTGTTATCCTGAACTTGGTCTGGATATGTTCATTGGCCCGAGGGGTGTAACGAGTCGCATTCCGACACCGAGTATTTTTTTTTTCCGGTAGTGAAGAATGACAGAAATAGGCACGAGGGGTTTCTTTTTTTTCGAGTGGGGCTATAAGTTGTTGTAAGAAGCGTGATATCAATACGAAACACACACACAAGAAAAGACGCCGATGAGCGCCAGCACGGGGGCCCGGCGTAATTTAGCTTTGCGGGACAAAGCCACATTAGAAACGCCATATAACATAGAGACAAACACGGGACGGGGCGCATCCTGTGTTTATGTGTTGTGCGGCTGACGGAGGCTTCTTGGTGGAAATGTTCACCCAAGAACTGCCTTCATGCCCAGACTATGAAAAAAAAGTATCATTTATCTTCATGAAAAAAGTAAGGACAAATTGTGCTGTGTGAATCTAGTCCGCTATCTTGATGCAGAATGCGAGAACCGCTGTCTGAAGGCATTCGTGGCGTGTCTTGCTCAGCGACAATTCCAAAAATCCCAGGGAAAGTACACGAAAAAATCCCACATCCAATAAGGAGTTTAAAAGCTGTTAATTAAGTCTCCAGTTTCGAGGAGGAATTTTGAGGTGGAAGAAGGGGTCAGTATTTTAAATAGGGTTCATTGGTGAATCCAGTTGGAAAAAACTTTGGCCCAGTTTCTAACACACGATTGAAAGAAAGTTTTTCTGCAACTGCGTTCATGACTTTAAATCATCTGTTGACCAAAAATGATTCGAATAATTCTTGTTTTTTAGGAGCTGAAAGGCGACATTGATGGAAGGGTGTTGTGGTGTTGTGCGAAAAAATGCATTTTAAAGCAAATTTCAAAGTAGCACCAAGTATCAAAGTCCGCATTGTCATTTATCAATATAGATACTATTCAATAATGGGGAATGTCATTCATATTCGAAAACGTGGATTTTTTTTATCTGAACGTTGTTCCTACAATTTTTCAACTTGATTGACTTTCAATTGGTGACGCTTGTACTCTTAGTAATGTTGTTTACTTGCAGTTGAGTAGGTCTAAACTCACTTAATGCCCCTATAAGACGTCTTTTGTTCGAACTTGTCAAACGGAGTGAAGTATAATATTTTCTAAATTTTTCCCGGGTATTAATTCTATTTCTCTGCCTCTCGAAATGCTGTACAGTATTAAAAATCCTCCTGTATCTCGGAAAGCTTGGTTTATTGAATTTTGAAAAACCGAATCATGTGAAGAAGGAAATTTGTGAGGCATTTAATTTTATTGAAAAAGGTTCCTTCTTGAAGTGATATTTTTTTAAAGTTTTCCTCCTTTTTATGTTTTACGAAAGGGCCGCCCTCTTAATCGACCGCGTATCGAACCACTCTCCTTCATTTGGAGAATTCTTTTATTCATTTCATCCCGGGTACTAGTGGGTCAAAAATCGCCCGAGGCCAGACCGGAGATTTGTGCACTTGTTTTTGCTCTACTTTTTTTTCTTTTCCCTGCCCCGAGGGGGTCGAACGTCGCGCGGCTTTTTGTTGGGCGCCAGATTAATGTAGGCTATTTGCGCGTATGGAAGTAATTTGTTTCGGAATCCGTGGGACGCAAGGGCGGGTAATTAACCTGCTCGGTCGGTGACGAAGAGGGTGTTGATGATTGCGACACATAATCATCCATTGCCAAAGGGGGGGGGGGGGGG